TGTGTGTGTGTGTGTGTGTGTGTGTGTGTGTGTGTGTGTGTGTGTGTGTGTGTGTGACAGAGAGAGATACAAATTATATATTAAGTAACCTCAAAACCAGGAAAGGCCTCCTGCAGAAGGTAGTTCTGGAGCTTAGTCATTAAAGTTGAAGTCACTGAATTTTCTCATTGAGGGTTCCCCCACTGGTTTGGTGGTATATCCCTAACCAATTAATCTTTTTAAAAAAATAAATTTCTATAGATATCTTTTCTTTCTATATGACCTTCATTTCCTAGTGTCTCTTCTCCCCTCCCCCCTTTAATGACAGAGAATAAAAAAGGCAGGGAACAATTCAACAAGACTAACTAATAGGTTGAAAGAAAAATCTTTCTATTATATGCATACTTAGTCTTCCACCTCTGCAAAGAAAGGAAAGATTGATTGTTTAATCTTAAAAAAATTACTGGGTTCAAGGGTGGGGCTAAGTAAACTGTAGGCTAAGCTAGGGTAGTCTCCTCCTACCCCTGCCTGCCGTCATGCCCACCTCAATGTTTTTAACTCCTCCAATTGCCTACTACTCAAATTTTTGGCTTCTTTCTAGAATAAGTCCATGCTACATTAAGTTACTATTATGTGTCTTACTGTCTCTCCCTCACAGAGCTGGTGGCCCCTGGTTAATAACTGATATGCGAAGAGGCGAGACTATATTTGAGATTGATCCACATTTGCAAGTATGTCTTGAGTTGAGAGAACTTCTCCCACTCATCTACCTTTTGTCCTTCTTCTGAGTTTATTGCCTTTCCTTTCCCTCAAACTGTCAGTGTTCAGAATAGGGCAGACATTGGAGACTGAAGAGTACAGCTATCTTTTTCCTTTGGATGTTTGCTTTTCAGTGATCTATAAAGGAACACATACATATGCATTTTCATTCACTGACATATTGTAGGGTTTAATGGGATCTAGTAGTTGGTTCAGCTTTATGTTGACAAGATATGAATTTGCCTCAATTAAAAGACAGATTTTCATAGCACCAAAAATATCTGATTTCATATCTCTCTTAGGTTTACTGATATCTTTAGGCTATCTTAGAGAATGCCTTCTCTAAGACATTCAGAATCCCACGATATTCCTGGACTATAGGAAGGTAGCTTAAGGGTTGTGCTTCCCTAGAGAAGGGGAAGCCTTTATGCAGGAAGGAAATATGCTCTTTTGCCCAGGAATTCCTCGGCATATCATGGGACACTTAGGAAGGCTTGGGGAAGCTCAAATCATAGAAGTACCACTAGGTTTACCTCTTACTCTGTTTCTAGATTGCAACTAATGTCCCCTTATTTGGGACTGTAGATTTCAGAGCCTGAGTATCATATAGTCCAGCCTTATCCTACTCCACTGATTTTACAGATGGGGAAACTGAGACCTAGAGCAGTTAAGTGAGGTTGGCTAAGGTCACATAAGCAATAAGTAGCACGGCTGGGATTTGAGCCCAAATGCTGTGACTCCAAATCCAGTGCCTTTCCTTCTCCAACAGGCTGCCTCTCTGTGCTTTGTTTGGGGTTCCCTGTGTTTCCTGGGTCAGTGACAGCATGCGATAAGTAGGAGGTCATCTAACTCCTTGTTCTGCAGCCATAATGGAGCCTTGCATTTGACACTGTGTACTGTGATTTGACCCTGTCCTAAGTCCTAGGTGCTGAGAGAGGGCTCTGATTCTTTGAACAAGTTGGGTGAAACCAACCAGTTCTTTGTCTGAATGCCAAGAGCAATCCTGTCCTCCCTCCACAAGGAATCCTGAGAGTAGACAGCAGGTCCCTAAGTTCACTTAGTGGTCTCTTAAAACATTTTTAAGAAAGAAGAAGGACAAATAGGAAAAAAACTGCTTTCTACAAAAATAACTCTCTGTACAAAGGTGAATCCCTATGCACATATGTCCACCTGCCAGAACAGGAGGGCAAGAGCTGAGATTATTTCATTAGCAACTTCTAGTTTTCTCTTTGCTAAAATGAGGGGATTGGACTAGATGATCCCTTCTTGCCATAACATTCTGTGAATATCTCTCGGAGGAGGGGTGAAAAGTGAGGAAAATCTATGTTTTGGTACTATAGTTCCAAAGGGCAATGCCATATTACTCCTATTGACTGATATTTTCCATTAACTCACCTATCTGAGCTCTGCTTCTTAGAGGAATGTCTTTTTTTTTTTCCCACGGATTCTGGGTAAGGCAGAATTTCAGGTTTGGCACTGAGAAAATCAAAAGACATTGGCACGTCTGGGACAAGGAGCTATTCCCCTGTCCCATACTGGAAATAAATTGCTAGCTTCTCCCTGGCCACCACCCCAAACTGAGCTGGGAATAAATGTGACACCAGAAGTAAGGAAACAGCCAATGATGAGAAACAGGTTTTGGGTTCCATGTTGCCATGTCTACAGTGAAAATAACCAGCTTACTGGTCAGTTTACTACTTAACTATAAGATAAGTAGTAACAAACAACACATAGTGTTCTTCCCCAGTCAGGCTTCTTCACCAGAGCAGATTAGTATCACACTAAGGCCTGTGATGGTATTTGGCACCAGCCTTTCTTAAGGAAATTAAATTCAAGGGTTCCATAGGTAGGGAAAAGCCAACTGAGGTGCCAGTTCACAAGGTGGCTTACTTTGACCATGGCTACTTTTTATTCAGTTGACCTTTAGTCTGAAGCCTGAGCACACACAGAACAATATATGATTAGTATATTAAAACAAACATACTATAGAAACATTTTAAGGGAAGGAATCTAGGAAGTGTTCTGGATACCATTCTTTTTTTTTTTATTTTTTTGTGAGACAGTCAGGGTTAAGCAACTTGCCCGGGGTCACACAGCTAGTCGAGGCCAGATTTGAATTCAGGTCCTTCTGACTCCAAGGCTGGAGTTCTATCCACTGCACCACCTAACTGCCCCTTGGATACTATTCTTTTTTAAAGTTGAGTTTGAGGAGCCAAGTTTAGATTTTGGAATACTTGGGTCTATTTTGAGTGTCTACATTAAACCATAGGCTGAGATAGAAACTGTAGGTAGTCACTGCCCTTGGATCGCCCATCTGAATTCAAAAAAAGAAGTAAATTTTGCTCAGATTTTGTTGAAAAACTTGGCCTGTCAATCTGACACTAGTCTGTTGGTCATATCTTAGATGCCATTCTGCTATGTAACTGCATTATCTAGCTATCAAAAGAAAGAAATTCAGGTGATTTAGGATAAAATTACTCCCTCTTCTTTCCTTTTAAACTTGTTCCATGTATCATCACTTCCCTATTAAACTCCTAAAAGAAGTGTTCCTCAAAGAGCAGGGAGAGAAGTATGTGTCTCCTAATCAAAGGCAGACTTCTACTCAGCCTCAGGGGAATAGTTCATGTGTCTAGGCCCCTGCACACTAACCAGGCCTTTTGCTATGGGACTTTTCCACAAAACATTGGGAGTGGTTTGGCAAAAGACTGAAGCCTGAAGTAAATAGTGCTGTATCTGAGTGCTGATTTGCCCATGTGCAGAAAATGTGTGGCTTGCAGTTGGCTATTGTGCTAGTATCCCTGACTCACAGTTGCCCCTGAAGGATCTCAGTAGTTGACAAAGGGTTTGTGATGCTGGTAGCTGCAAAGAGAGTGTGGTTGGGGACTCTATTCTTAGGGGACAAGAATGGTGGTGGCAGCAACAAAAGTGCTTGCTGAAGAAAACATCTGAGTAGTGTGCTTTGTCTCTTTGGGTCTTTTCAAGCAGGAGAGAGTTGATAAAGGGATCGAGACAGATGGCTCCAATCTGAGTGGAGTGAGTGCCAAGTGTGCCTGGGATGATCTGAGCCGACCCCCTGAGGACGACGATGACAGTAGGAGTATTTGTATTGGGATGCAGCCTCGGAGACTTTCTGGCAAAGGTGAGACCTACTTACCCCAAACTTTACCCTCTTGCCCCTAACTCATGCCCATTCTGTTCTAACCTAATCCTTGCCTCCTTTTCCAATATCATTCTTCTGAGTCCTGGTTTACATTATCTCTTGTGATGGCTTTCTAATAGAAAAAACACGTTCTGGTAGTTTCTTGTGTAGCCATAGTTTAAATGGTAATCATTCTCTCCCATTGCAGTGTGATTAAGGGTATTTCATTAACCTCTTTCTGGGTGGCATTTGTTTCCTGAGTGTATTTTTTTGAAGTATACCATTCACAGTGATAATTTTTTGCATCTGCCCATGGAAACTGAGTTAATGGAAATGAGCTGGAGTCATGGGGCAATTATAGAAAAGGAGTAGAGACCACCAAAGATGGAGCTTGAGTTGAATTAGAATTGATACAGAGCAGAACTCTTGCATCAATCCCACTAAAGCCATAGGTAATGGAAGAATGAGTCCAATACATAGGACTTTTCCTGCAGAGATAAAGTGCTTGGTTCCTTACAGATGAAGTACAGGGCTGTAGACAGTAGACCCTTGACTTTCCAAGCTCTCAAGAGGGATCAGGGATCATGAGCAGCCCGGATTAATAAAGCTAGGCCACATCTCAAATCAAATGACTAGTTGTGATGTTGAGTGTGTGTTCAATTAGTTGGGTACAAGAATACTTAGTGAGTTTTAGCAAAGAGTACAGTGAACTAATTCCAAAAGAAAAAGTCTGAAATGTTAATTTCTAGGTACAAATGATTACAGATTTCATTTCTACTTTCTGTCCATTTTCTCAGCCACTTCATTTTTTAAATGGTTAATAGGTTTATAGCTTGAGCCATGTCTCCTAACAAACACAAGGTGACATTTGTAGAAGATTTTCTATTTCCAGCCTTCCCTAATGGGGCAACATTTTAAAAAGACTCCATTACAAATATTTGGCCCTTTTCTTTCCTTCCTGTTTATTCTGCAGATGTGCCAAGCTTAATAGGAAATTCAGAGAGGGTGTGCACTTATCAGAATCATTCAGTTGAACTTGACACGAGGGCTGGTTTTTTTCTTTTTTTGAGGATCCAGAAGTTTTGTCCAAAGGTTCAGCTGACTGGCTTTCTTTCGTGGTGGACAATGTACAGAGGAACCTGCTTAGATCAAAATGTCATTAGAAAGAAGCAGACCAACTCAGCAAGCTTTATCTCAAAGGCCAGCAAAGTCTCTTTAAAATTAAGCCTTCCAAGTAAGTTAAACTTCTAGTAAAGCAGGTTAGTGGACCACAGGAGAGAATTTGACCATTTTTGTGAAATTCAGCCTGTCCATCCCTTGCCCCAACAAGACCTAAGGAGTACTAAACGTCTCCTTGGTATAGAGTTGAAGGGAAGTGATTGGGAGCAGATCTTCCCTGTATGGCCCAATTCAGGGTATCCCTAAACTGAAGGCCCAGACAGAACCTGGCAGCTAAGTATGAATGGCGCCATATATATGCTGATGAGTGATAATGCAGGGAATGTGTCAGTCAAAGCTGTCATGTCTGCTAGCATTCCTAACCATGTGACAGTGTCATTTTCCCTTAAAAGATTTCAGTAGTTCATAAAGGGCTTACCTTGTTGGTAACTATGAGTAACCGTGGGCAACATGGAAGGGGGTAAGCATGTATCTTAGGCAGAGAAAGAGAAATGACTCATTCCTTCTAGCCAGAGATAGAGTGAAAGACCCTGTCTTATGCATCCTTTGAGATTCAGACCCAAATCCTTCTTTTTTTTTTTTTCCAGCAGAAAACAAGCTAATCATACTTCTGGGTATATAGACAGTAGCTCAGGACCAGCATGATTTCTTTCCCCAGGATTGATGGTATTTTCCAGCTCCACAGCTCTGCCAGATTTGGGGTGCCCCACATAGCATCAAGTGACCAAGCTCTGTCTTTGCAGATACAGAGCAAATCAGAGAGACCCTGAGGAGGGGGCTAGAGATCAACAGTAAACCTGTCCTCCCTCCAATCAACACCCAGCGGCAGAATGGCCTAAATCATGACCGAGCACCGTAAGTCTCTGGCCCCTCAAGGGATTTAAATCATATGTCCCCAGTGAGCCACATCCTATCCCAGAACTTGGAGGGGTTTCTGTCTTTAAGAGTTTTCACCTCCAATAAGATAGCAGTGGGTCTTCTCTCCCCACTCCACTCCTTCCCCTTCAAGACCTATGTGAAAAAGAACAAAGACTGGGCTTATAGGAACCAAGGATTTTTGCAACTTGATGAAAAGAGTAGGGGGGAGGGGGGATGGCAGACATGCAAGTTTGCCAGTAGTAAGGGTCTTTAAAGAGTCATTGTAGGGTGTGAATATAAACATCTGCAAATATTTACATGGGCTCTGTGTGAGGCAGGGTTGGGATGAAATCAGATTTGGGGCCTCCCAGCCTTGAATGGGACCATTGTAATGAGCATTGCTCCTCTCCTTATCTTAGTTACAGCTGTAGTTGCCCTTCCTTCCTGAGGCTTGGTCTTCAGCTCGTATCTACAGCTGCATAAGCCTCCTGCCTAGCCAACCAACAGAAGGCCCTGCTGGAACCTGAACCCCATTTTCTTGCTGCCCCAGGAGGGAAAACCCTTGGCAGATCTCCCTTGACTTTCATTAGGCTGCTGCTTCCTGGGTATAGTTTATAATACACTACATGGCTCTCCAAGGAGAATTTCTACTCTAAGGCCATTTCAGACCAGGATTTATTCTTGGATTTTTTTCTCTTGTCCAGGCAAGTGCACTGTGTATCAGATGCCTTCCCCTTTGAGCCAATAGGTTCTGTCAAGACACAGTGTAGTGGTCAGGGGTTACCTCTTCTCTACCCTTTGGTCCTAATTTCAAAGCAACAGTACTAGTGAGGCTCTGCCTTGGGTGCTGGTGTCGCAGAAAAGAGACCTCATCCCTGGCTGGAAATACCAGTGCCTGGGCCCAGTGAGCAATTAATTCATCCATCTAAGGACAAATGTGTTGCTAGAAAATGGAGCTTGGTTAGTACACCTGGTAGAAAATTCCTGATGGTATGTCTCATACACGATGATGTTTTTAAAATTAAAAAAATTCTTATAGGGAGGCCCAGTATTTCAGACTGGTTAGTATTCTAGACTGATTATTAGTTACTTTCTTTTCTTTTTATTTCATTTTCCAAATTCTCTTCTCTTTCCTCCTCCCCCACCTATTGAGAAGGCAAGAAAAATAGAATCCATTATAAATATACATAGTCATGCAAAACAGATTTCTGCATTAGCCATGTTCCAGAAAAAAAAGTAGGCAAAAAAAAAGAAAGAAATACAAGAAAATATGCTTCAATGAGACCTTTGGAAGTGTGGTTGGTCATTGTGTTGTTAAGAGTTATTACTGAGTCTTTCAAAGTTGATTATCTTCACAATATTGGTCTTTCCATGTAAATTTTTCTCCTGGTTCTGTTCACTTTCCTTTCTGTCAATTCATATTAATCTTTGTAGGTTTTTCTGAAACTATCCCCTTCATCATTTCTTATAGCACAATAGTATACCATTGTCTTCATATACCTTAGCTTGTTCCACCACTCCATAATTGATAAGTATCCCCTCAGTTTCCAGTTCTTTGCCACCACTAAAGGAGCTGCTATAAATATTTCTGTATATATGGGTCGTTTTCCTCTTCCTTTGATCTCTTTGACATACAGACCTAGTAGTGCTATCAGTGGGTCAAAGAGTACGTACAGTTTAATAGTTTTTTGGGCATAGTTCCAAATTGCTTTCCAGAATAGTTGGAGTAGTTCACAGTTCTACCATATTAGTTGCTTTTCTAAGAAGTCATTACTGAATATTTGCTGTGTGCCAACCTATGCCAGGTCCTCTTGAGGAGATCAGAAATATGTTTTCTGCTATCAGGGAGTTCATTTAGTGGAGGAGATAGAACCAACATACATGAGAGAACAACTAAGTGTAAATAGGCCAATTCCAAGAATGTCCAAAGACTGCCTTATAATATTTCCTAAAGATGGCCTTTGACCTTGAGATTGCTGGGACCCTATTGGCTTTTCCTGGTAGTGACTGGAACAGTGTGCTGTGATTCTGATCCTAGCTTAAGTAGAAAGCCCTGGAGTGATACATTACACAATTTTTCAGATACTTTCGTTGCTCTAATGAGAACACATCATCTGGTGGCATAAGTCACGGGTGAGATTTTTTAATGGCTTCAAAAAGCCAAATAGCATTATTCCATTGGTTCTAATAGAGTATTGAGAAATAATTGTTTATGTTTTGCATGACTTCACATGTATAATTGATATTATATTGTCTTCTTAATGGGTGGCGAGGGGCAGGAGGGAGTGAATTTAGAAGTCAAAATTTTTAAAAATTAATGTTAAAAAACGAAATAATTGTTGACCAAGTTAAAGTTCACAGCAATTCACATTTGACTAGAATATATCAGCACAGAGTTTCCTTTTCTTCTCTGGAAATATTTGAACCTCTGAGAATATAGACCATAGAATGGAATAGCATTTTAGAGCTGAAAGGTACCTTGGGAATTATCTGCCCCCTCATTTTACAGATGAGAAAACAGAGGCAGAACAGTTAAGTGACTTGTCCTCCAGGATCACGTAGCTTGTTAATAGCATTGCCAGAAATAGAACCCAGGTCTCTTGACTCCTTATCTAATACTTAGTCAATCCCACACACTATCTGCATGTGCATATCTCCCTATGCTATGATATCTTGCCCAGCTATATTTATGAAGTATTTTTGTAGGAACATTTGAGAGATACAAGTTCCCAGATCAGTCTTGGATATACACTGCACTTAGTTGTCGCTTTTCAAGATTGGAAAGCTTTTAGGGTTTATTCAACATTTGTAGCCTGAATCTGAGGCTCACTGGAGTGGTTATGGCTCTCCCCTTGAAGGCTGGCTGCAGAGAGACTCCTGGCAGCAAGGAGATTTATAGAGGAGAGAAGTGAGTAGGGAGTAGGTCAGAACTGCTTACCCATGGTGATCTACCTTCTTTGAGTCTGAAACATGCATACCCAAGAAACCAGGGAATGTTTCCTAGTTAGTGTTCAATTCTTCAGGCTGCATTATTACAGATACAGCAGAAACCAGTATGTGAAGAAGTCGGTGCAAAATGCTTTCTCTTTTACATAAGAATATTGTTGGATACTTTGCTCACCCTCCCCAGGGTTGAACTCCTGCTATCTCGAAGACCGATGGAGATGTAGTGAGTTCAGATTAGTAAGCAGGCTCTTAATGTCCATGCTGCCCACTCTGGGACTTGACCTCGTTTCTGTTAAACCAAGTTGATTACAATTAAAGAAACCGTCCATAAATGTGCTAGCACAAGTTTGTTGCATCTCCCCCATGGTAGTAGCAATCAGTGGGTGAGTTATTGGGTCTATGTGTTTGATTTTCACTTGGTCAGGCTTTCAGTGCTGTATCGTAGTAACATATACCTTTGGGGTTCTGAACAGGTCTTTTTCTTTCCTGCAAGTGTACTGAAGAGAAGCTATCATCTGGGAGGCAGCAAAGTCTAGTGGTTAAAACGACAAATTAAAAATGGGTCATCAACAGATCTCTCAGTCATTTGGATAAAAGTGAGCTATCACTCTGCTCGTGCTTAGGTCTTAACCTATGAAGCAGGTATGACCTTATTTGCTCCACTCATGGGGATGCTGCAGGGATTCATAAAATCATGATTATGAGTTGATTGATAGACATAATACAGGGTATCCCAAAAATCTTTGTGCAATTTTGAGCTCCTCAAGGTTAAAACTTGACTTCAGTTACTAAGGCTTAAGACTGCACTGCACTTTTGGGACACCCTATGTGTATAAAAATACCAATTTATAACAAACCAGTAGAACTTGTTTATAATCATGTAATTAGAGATACAGTTTGAACCTATGTTATTTATCTTGTTATCTCAGGCTTTAACTTTTGGGGTGTTAGATTTGGGATTATAGCTACTGTACTAAAATGGCTTTTTCAAAGTAGGACCTATTTTAGTTATGTTAAAAAATAAACAAAATAAAACCAAAAAATCCTTATTTCTAAAATTGTCACTTTGAGACCTGGGACTTTTTCTTGTATGTCTTATTTCTTGCTTCCCATGAATCTCTTCCCCTCTGAATAACCTGGGCCTCTACCTCTCTTGCTCTTGGTTCATGCCTGCTGTTCTCCCACTCCCTTCAGGAAAGAAGAATCACCAGCCCCCTCCATGGCCCATTCTAATGTTTCACAACTCCTACATTCCAACCATAAAATATGTATTTGGCTTTTCCTGAAACGATCTGCTGAGAAAACCATATTCTGGCACCTCCCCCTAGTGAGTCTGCCTCGGGCAGCCAAGGAACCATGCAAAACAAATTCCTCACTGAGCTGAGGACAGTAGCACATTAAAAGCTGTGACTCTTAAATGTTCCCACATGACTGGGGAATAAATGACCAGGCATACTTGATATTTGAAGTCATTAAGTTTTTAAATTTTCATTATTTTTTGGTCAGAGATGATCTAATGGATTCCAGCCCTTAGCTTTTCTGTTTCAGTTTTCTCCAGGATAATCTGGGAAAATGATAGTTATCAGGTTCATTGTTTCTGATAACAGAGAAATTTGAATTCCTACCACACTATAGTTGTAAGAGCTAGTAACTTGTCTGGCTTTGGAGATTTTGTCCTGACTCTACAAGTGACTCACTAACCAGGGCCAAATCCATCTTTTGATGCATCTTCTGGGCCCACATGATGGGCTGACTGCATTCTTAAAAATCATCTATCTAGAGGTATAAAAGTGGAGGCCTACAGCAGAAGTAAATGTCTAATAAAATGCAATACAACATAGACAATGTGAATTTTGGTTTTCTATGTCAGAGCTTGGCCAGTAGAGCCATTTCTGTTTGAATTTAGTGCCTCTGATCTAATTCCTTTCCTTTTACAAATGAGCAACCTGAAGCAAGCCCAGAGGGATGAAATAACTTAACCAAGGTCCATAGGCTAGCATAGCAAGAACTAGAACCTGGGTCTTCTGCTTATCTTTCAATTTACTTATTGT